ACGGCCGCACGGTCGTCACCTGGATGCGTGGTCGTGCAAGCCCAACCCGACGACGTGAGCATTTGGCCACCACCAAGAGGCTTCGTAGAACACCCGCAGTGGCAACCGGCAGATCGGGTACCCCTACACGAGCTCAACCTGGCGAGGTGGACGGAATGTCACGCTCGGAAGTTTGGTTGCACGAACCCGCCACGGCGAGACGGCCGCACGGTCGTCACCTGGATGCGTGGTCGTACAAGCCTAACCTGGCGACGTCAGCATTTGGCCACAACTAAGAGGCATCGTAGAATACCCGCAGCGGCAATCGGCAAATCGGGTACCCCTTTTACGAGCTCAAACTGGCGAGGTGGACGTAATGTCACAACTCGGAGGCTTCGTTGCACGAGCTCGCCATGGCGAGACGACCGCACGGTCGTCAACAGGGGGCTTGGTTGCACAAGCTCAACTCAGCGACGTGAACATGCGGTCATCACTAAGAGGCTTAGTTGTATGGCCCCGAGTGGCCGAGCATGATCAGTTGAAGAGGAAGATGCCATGGACCTTCTGCAACATGTGTGATCGGCTTCGACTCACCGACGTGCATGAGAGACCAATGGTTGTACTCTTGTACGACGTGTTTCGACGGAGTGCATGACACCTTGTCAAAATATAGGACCGGAGCATTGTGGGCTTGTAGATTAAGAACGGAGCGCAGAGCACCTTGCCAAATCCTATGAGCGGAGCACCGCAAGCTTGTTGATCAAGTACGGAGTGCATGGCACCTTGGCAAAATCTAGGAGCGGAGCATTGCAGGCTTGTAGATCAAGAGTGGAGCGTAGGGCACCTTGTTAAATTTTATGAGCGGAGCATTGCAAGCTCGCAGATCAAATGCCGAGCACCGGTCACCTTTTCTAATCTGGTGAGCGGAGCACCGCAAGCTCGTTGATCAAGTGTAGATTGCAGATTAGCTCTCTCATTCTATGAGTCCATCATCACAAATTGTAAATCAAGTGTAGAACTCGAGGCAACTCCTCAAGTTCTCAAATTCTTTTATTACTCAAAAAAAGAAAATCTTTCGTTTTCTAGTCTGGAACTTAATGAGGTCCGACCTCACTTGGAAATGAACGGGCGGCGGCAAAAAAAAAGAAACAAAAAAAAACAAAAAAAAACGCAAAAAGAGAAAAAAAAATACTATGATGTCCCGCTCTCGGTGTTTAGACGACCATGGCTCAATCCTCGGGCAAGGAAATGATCAAACAATTTTCTAAGTCTAGGAATAGCTTCTCGGTCATGGCGACCATAAGACCGGCCTCCGGGTCGAAAAGGTATGCGAGAGGTCGTGCCCCGAGACCCTCTTGTATATCCGTTGTCTGACGTTGCCGTCTAAACAGCTCGCATGCACGTATGATCCCATCAACAATGCGGCAACTATATGACTGGTCTCTAGGCCGAAGGTATGCGAAAGGTTGTGCTCTGAACCCCTTTCGTACATCAGTTGTCTAACGTTGCTAGGCTTAGCAGCCCGCATACACGCTTGACAGGATCAACGGTGCGGGTCCGTTCTGGTCTGATCATGCAGGGCCTTGCCCTTACGTTTGGCCAACTTCAGTTCGACTTTCAGAAAGGGAATAGCCAAAATGTTTCCTAAGTATGAAACTAGCTGTACAAGTCAAGATGTAAGACCGGCCTCCGGGTCGAAGGTATGCAAGAGATCAGGCCCCGAGCCCCTCTCGTACAACCGTTGTCTAACCGATGGCCGAACAGCTTGCACACTCATCAGTCATAGATCAATAGTGTGCGGGTCAGCCCGCCTTACCAAGCAGGGTGCGGTCAAGGTCGGTCCTACCAACCTTCCGCCCCTGACGGCCTAGGTGGGAAGCCAGATCCCCGATTAGTTCTCCAAGTATTCTTGAATGAAAAACGACTAAGAAAATTGAATGAACGAATGATGCATACAAGCTCAGGCGATAAATCAATCGCGGAGAACAACTCCAAGATCATCATTGCCCATCTTCTCCACCTCATCATGGGTAGTCTGCATATCATGCATGCCACATCTAAAAGAGAACAAGGCCTCCTTTCGCGCCAATTGCAACCCTCCTTGGTCCGCAACTGAGCTTGGACATACTCCGGACGCCGATCCTCGATCCAAGAATTGACAAGGTTCGGAAACTTTAGGAAGACATTGAACATGGAAACTGCCTCATCTACTATGTCCTCAACGCTCGGACATGCTTTGGTGGCCGGGCCTCGAGCCTAGATCTTGCAAACTCTGAAATCACTGGGAATGCTTTAACGCTGCAATTACCTTATGCCTTGCATCTCAGGACAACGACTCTAGCTAGTCTTACTTTGATACAGGCTCGGATGAAACTTTCATATCTTTGGTCGCAGCCACGCTTGGGTATGCTCCGATCATTTTCTCCAAGGCAAGATGTGCACCTTCAAGGCATCCTATGTTTTCTCCATCCACTCCTGAGCCTAGACTACCTGAAGCTGGTTCAAGCTCTTCTTTACAATTCAAACCAAGTACGTGGTCATGGCGAGGCCACCGATCATCACCTCACCATCCATGTCGAGTCACGCACACTCATCTCCAGCCCAAGTTCGTGCAGGGCTACCTCCAAGTCAAGTTCGTCCAGGGCTGCCCCCTCACCGAGGTTGTGTGCGCGTGACAGTGCATGGCTTACGTATGGGCTAATCGATAGGTGAGAGCCCACCCAGGCTCCGAGCTCGGGACTCTCACTCCTAAGAATAAATCATGGTCGGTCACACATGCCATCACAAGGTGGATATTCCGTAACTTGCGCATCTTCTACGTCAAGCTCGTCATCCTGGTATATGGCCATGTTTGTGCAGAGGAACGAGATTGTCTATCTTTCCAAACCACCTACGATCAAGCGATGCTCTCACAATGTTAGAGAGGCACGTATCGATGCATAGCTTGGAAGCCCGAATGCAATCACATGCCACCCTCGTCAAAAATCATTCATCAAGATGAAGCAAAGTGGAAGTCTTGCCTTCCTCACCATCCATGATGTTCAGAGACCATTAAGATGACATGTCACTCCGACCTCCCTCGAATCGCAGCAGGTGGGGGGCACCTTGGGCTCCTCGTCACACGAGAAAATAGGTGCAACCCTCCGATCACTGGCATGAATGAGCAGATCTACAAAAGAACTCTCTCATCGATTCAACAAACGACAAGGAATGAGTCACCCAAGCATTGCTCTCTTTCCCTGAATCAATTCAAGGGGTCGTCCAAGCATCGCTCCCTTACTCTGCATTAGGGGGTCCCCCCTCCAAGCATCGCTCTCAGTCTGGGATCTTACATCCACCCTGGGGAAACTTGAACGACAAATGACACCGTAGTAATAGCAATCAATAGGGACTACTTATCATGGTGGACTACTCACAGCATCCTTCTGAGAACGTCAGACGAGCATTGTCACAAGTGAAGACCGGTATTTGCCATTCCCTTAGCAGATGGCGATCGTTGCAGCTTCACGCAGTGCTCGGAGGGCTCACCTTGTTGCTGAATTTGGAAGAAGACCCTGGACTGCTAATCGGATAGACAAGACCCCGGGCTGCTAGACGGAGAAACAAGACCCCGGTCTCCTAGTCGGAGAAACAAGACCTCGAGCTGCTAATCTGACAAACAAGACCCCGGGCTGTTGGTCGAACAAACAAGACCCGGACTGCTACCCAGACGAAGGAAACCAAATCCTTTCGCAAGCAGCGGGATATAATGTGGACAGCGTGCAACCGGCTTTTTCAGAGCATGCTTCACCTGATCACCATCAACGGATAACTGAGCTGTTGGCCTCTCCCGAGCACACCTCAGCTCGACATCATCGACAGACAGTTGAGCCGTTGGCCTCTCCCGAGCACACCTCGGTTCTGCGTCATCAACAGACAATTGTGCAACTAGTCTCTCCCGAGCATACCTTGGCTCGACCGCCTCCACTGGCAAACAACCGTAGGACTGGCCTTCTCGAAACATATCTCAACTTACCAGTAAAGCATACACTCAATCAAGAACCGAGGAGACTAGCCTTCCTTTGCTTTATTTTAAGGTTCCGGTGTACTCTTTTTCCTTTACTGGGATTTTTTCCCACTGGATTTTTTCCTAGTAAGGTTTTAACGAGGCACCCCCTCATCATGAACAAAAGAAGAGGTCTCCCAGTCGGAACAAGGAAGACTCCATTCTTTCACAAGCAATTGGATCTAATTCAAGGCTCGCCAATGACCGACCGACCGGACCAAGAATCGGACCAATTCCAAAACAGCTTAACTACTCCCTTTTAGCCGAGTCTACTACTCGACTAAGGGAGTGGGGGGCTCGTGTTGGGATAATGGGACGGGTCCAAGACTATCGGCACATTACACCCGAGCTTTGGCTCGACCAAGCTCACATCACAGTCCGGCTAGCAGATATTGGCCCGGGATTATTCAATTCCTTATTGGGCTTGCTGGCCCATTAGCGTTAGTAATAGTAGATTAATCGAGCCAGACCCACGTAGCACTTAATTGGTGGGCATATTGTATACGTCTATAAATAGGCCATCAACCCCTTGTATTCTGCTAAGTTATTCTCACTATACTGAAATGCTGCCGAATTCTCTACCCGGGTTATTTTCTACCAACACTTGGTATTATTGACGTTATTTTTGTGCTTTTTATTATAAAAAAAGGTAATTATTTGAGTAAAAGATTTCATCCATGCATCACACCGTGTGACATACTAGTTTGTTACAAAATCATGCGCATTTTAATAAATATTAAGTTAAGCAAATCATCAAATAGATTTGAACTATATAATTTAAGTATACATAATGATATACTCCGTATAAGTGTTCTACGTTGAACATAATTTAGACGTTTCATGCATGTCAAACATAGCAGTTTCTTTTTTTGAAATGCAGAAAGAATTTGTACATGATCATGGTTATTTTTCCAACCCCATGTTTTATGTCATAATATTATCCATAGCGAATGATTAACTCTCATTTAAATTGCAGAGCGGTGGTGGATTTAGGAGGCCTGGCTTTGGACGTGGTGCCGGAGGCTTTGGTGGTGGTGCACCCCAACCTAAAACATGGTGTTTGTGTTTTTATTAGCCACTGCAACTTGGATAATCTAATCAAACATTTTGTTTTAATATATTCACTTGTGTTGTTAAAACTTAGCGTCGGTCTCACAGTCAGACAGGCTTATACCATTACGCTCACGAGCAGAATCTTAGCGCGTTTGTGTTGTTTGTTCCTTTATTTTCTACATTGCAATTCTCTGATGTTTCTATTACTTAAGTTCATTTCTAACACCAAACTCATCAGGCGTTTTTTATGGAAGGCTCTGAAAAGTGGATGTTTGACTTCATTAATGCGATAAGCGGACCTATGAGAGCATCTCCAATGCTTTGGGTGCATTGGTGGTGATGTGTCATCCAAATGCAAAGGATCTATAGCTCATGTGGGGCAAAAGAAATAAATTGAAGAGGTCTACTTTTTTCTTACTCCAATGCAAAAAAACTACATAGCAAAATAGAGAATAATCATTGCATTTTTAACTTGATGAGGTGAGACCCAAGGTCTATCAATGGACCTTGTGCAAGACTTTGATATTCTCTCCTTTGCCAACTAAGCTTCACCCTCTTCATTTTTTATTGCATTGGAGATCACATCTACTAAATGGGAGTGCATTTGGTGAGGTGGAGATGCAATCCACCTCTCCATTGGACATGCCCTGAGAGTATAAATATATTTAAAATGTAATTAAAATATGAATGGGAATATAAATATATTTCGTAAATGAGAATATAGTAAATGCAATTAAAATGCAACTAGTATTAACAATTTAAAATGTAACTAAAATGAGAATAATATAAAATGAGAATGTAAGAAATATTTAAGTATGAATAATGTAAAACGAGGATGTAAATATGAAAATGTAACTACTAGTTTAAATATAATCCATATTATGAACCCGACTGAAAAGAAGTGGTATGCGACTTGTAAACATTGTAAGGAAGTATTGAGCTTGAGGACGTCGATGAGATAAGGCGACACTCATAGACATTTGAAGGCTCAAAACTCCACAGAGCGACGAAACTGAAAGGTAAGGGGACACAAACACAAATATCAATGTTTGAAAATAACCAACCATCTTGTAATTTCGTTTAGAATGATGCAAAACATTTAATTGATGTGTCTAAATTAATTTGTGAAGAAAATTTTGCCTTTTATTTTTCTGTAATTCTTGTTTTACGTGCTTATGCTCAGAGTGCTTTAAATCGTCAATTTGAAAGTATAGTCGCAAAAACAATTAAAAAAGAAGTTATAAGGCAATATTTTTTGGAAAGGGATAAATTAAAAATGTTTTACGCAAACTTTGATGAGCGTGTTAGTATTTGTAGTGATATATGGGAGGATACTTATCACCGTTTATATTATTTGGGTGTGATTGCACATTATATTGATGATAATCAGGAAATGCATACTGTGTTATTGCTTTTCGGGAATTTAATGACCAACGCACCGGTGATAATATTTATTTTATCATTGAGCGTATTTTAATGAATATAATTTTATTGATAAGGTGTTTGCTATTGGTTTGGATAATGCTAGTAATAATGTTGTTGTTATACCTAGATTACGTGAATTGTGTGGTCCTTCTACTATGATGGGTAGATTTTCATCAGCATTGTGCATGTCATATTCTTAATTTATGTGTGAAAGACAGTTTAACCGTGTTAGAAAATGTGATGGAGAACGTGAAGGGGACTGATGGAGTATATGGGTCTAGGCCCCGGGACCCACATACTCAGAACAGAAAGTACAAGCCACTACGCAGTGCCCTCGTCGGCCAAAGGACCCCCGTCGGCCGAAGAGGGACCAACTCAGAATATGATCCTGAAGCCAGGGAACCAGGGTGTCCTCGTCAGCCGTGCCCTCATCGGCCGTGCCCTCGTCGGCCAGACCCTCGTCGGCCACGGAAGTCTCACAGAACTAGATTTTACACTTATTCATTTATGTATCCCATCATTTACTTTGTATTCGGCCCAATAGCGGTCCAGTTGTAAATGGGCCTCTCAAGCCCAAGGCTTGGGAACCCAGCCCGTATTTTTCCTATAAATACTTCCTCTGGAGGTAGTTGTAGGGGTTACAAGATCATTCTATTGAAGCATTTACTTGCACTTCTCTCTTTAGCTCTCACTTCTCTCTAGATATATACTCTATGAGGGACTATTAGACTTATTTGGGATAATACCCAACCTAAACTGCAATGACGTGAATATTTGAGAGCTAGACATGTTAGATATTGTGTTTTTCCTAAAAACTTGTGTTTTCCCTAAAGATTTGGGGTAACACTCAACCTAAACTACAATGTTCCCGAGTTTATCGAAGATGGCGAAGCAAGTGCTGTCAATGTCGATGTCAACGATAGCTGTGGAACAAGAATTTAGTGAAGCCGGCAATGTCTTAACAGATTATAAAACGAGATTAAGCGCACAATCTCTTGATAGAGTAAAAGCCAAGAACTTTGCATCGCCCCAACTGCCACTTGATGTTTTAAATTATTCTCAATCCTCAATTGTAATTCATATTTCAAATAAATCTACATTCCATTTTTAATGTCTACCACTTGTTGTATAAATTAGAAAATTTAAAAAACAAATGTCCCGACCAGACACGGGGCTGGACCGCACCCCATCCGGGTACCCGGACTGGAACCAATACCGGACCCAGAACCGACCCGGACTAGCCGGAACCGACCTGGGTCGAACACTAAATGCCACATGGCCACATGGGCATCATGTGTTATATCATAATGTACGATGTACATGTGAAATAATAAGATTGTTCTCATGCTTTCAGAGGGATATATAGGCAAACCTGAAAGGAGTGAAAGTGGAAAAACAGCCATGTGAAATACTTGACATTATGCATGTGTGAGGGAGAGAGGGAAAAACTGAATAGGCAGAGGAGATAAAGATATTCGAGAATCACCTATTTATACATGTATTTTGGAGTGATTCAAGGAAAAATGATTAATGAAAACCTAAGTTTCTTATCTTCCTAAGGATGTTTTTACTTGGACTGTAATTTGATGGTCTGGTCTGGTCTGTACTGGTCTGGTTTCTTTGTATTTTTATAACTATCCAAGTCTGGTCTGGTTTAGTCTGAACTGGTCTAGTCTGGTCTGATCTGGGACGAATTACAGTCCAAGTAAAAACATCCTAAGTTTGACTTGTGCAAGCACTATACACTAGCAATATACATCAACATAATTTTGATTAGGACGAGTCTTCATCCCTTTGCCTGCGCATTCTGGCTCCCCAAGATGTACCACCATTGGAGTCCTTAAATTTGCTTCTTCTCTTTAGTTCAGAAAGCTGAGACTGCCATCGAATACTCCATTCAACGTCCACTTCTATTGGCTAAATGAAGAAAGGACAAAACAGGTTAGTTTCAGAAACTGTAATAACTCAGAGCCCTGATTGTCGTAAGGGCAAGGCAAATACCACTCACATCCCAAAAAAGTCAAGTTGTTTACATATTACTGTGTAATAACTTAGATGTTTGACTATAAAATCAGTAGAAAACGTCATATTTCAAAATGCTAATCCAAAACTCTCCTATTTGAAGCGTTTCCATTTCAGCGTTTCCCTCCAGAAACACTAATGCCGAATAGCTTTTTCATTTATTCAAAACGCTAAAGGTGGTCAAGCCACCATTATTCGGATGAAACGCCATTTACACCCCATACATGCTATAAATTCCCAAAATAGAATATCATTCCTTTTCTAGCCCTCCTATTTTTCTCTCCTCTTTCTGATCTTCTGATCAGGACCCCCGCTTCTTCACTTTGGATGAGGGCATTCAGTTCATTACTTCATTGTACAAGTAATTTCAACTCAATTTAACAATAATCTTTTTTAACTCTGAATTTGCAATTTACTATTGTTCCTACTTACTATAATAAGTCCAACCAACACATGAACTTAAACTTCTGCTTACTTCCTTACTTCCTTCAAAATTCTTTTCACATAAAATTGAAATTTGACTCCCACATAATTCTTGCCTGTCAACCAACAAGCCGTAAAGAATGGTCAATCAGCAAAACTAACATTAGAATGTGCAAAAATACTTAACATATGCTTTTTTCTTTTCTTTTCTTGATGTGTACAGACTCCCCTTATTGTTTATTTGCCATCTTTCTATGATTCTACAAGTTTCCAAAACCAAAACTATTGTTTTAAAGTGGATACAGTTCCTGTAATTAATGCGGCCAAGATTAAAGTCTCAGAGAAAAATGCCTCATATAGTAACTTTCTTTGATCACAGAAGTATGAAGTATTACACAATTCAATAAAATTGAAGAAAATTTGGGGAACAAACCTTATTTTCACGACGCCAACGTGATGAGAGGGCGAAGTTGAGGCCTTTCGCAATATCTCTATCATACAGAGCCCTTCTCCTCGGGTCCGACAGCGTCTCGTAAGCCTCCTGGACCCGAATGAATCGCCGGGTGTGCTCCTCGACCCGGTCCGGAGGTGAAACATCCGGGTGATACTTCCGGGCGAGCTGCTTGTACGCATGTTTGATCTCCAGTAGAGAGCCCGTCTCGGATATTCCCAGAAGGTCGTAGAAGGAAATTGGGTCCGCGAACGAGGAGACGTCGTTAAGCATGGATCGGACTTTTATGGACGCAATTTGCAGCCGGGGATTGAAGCGTTTGACAGGAAAGAAGACCGCGGGAAACGGGTCGGGTTGGAACGTCGAGCTGGGAGGAAGAGGAGAGAAGCGGAGGTTGCTTCTTGATAGTGTTAAGCCATAGGAGTTGCTGCACATCTCTCTTTCAGCGGGTTTAGTTGAAACCTCGAACGGACTTTGATGGAAAATAGAATTAGCAGAAGAAAGAGAATTGGGTTTGGAATGGATAGAAGTTAGAGGTTAACATTAATTAATTGTAATTTGATGCCTTCAGAGATTGGTTGGCTGCTTCAAGAAGTTTGAAATTATTATACGTTGTTGGTGCCACTTTTCAAGAAAGACGGTATTTATTAGACCTAGTAATTTCACTCATTTCCATAGATCGGACTACTCTGAAAACACATTTAATCCCAAAATAGGTTTTGCCGTATAAAGAATATTTTTTAAAAAAAAATATTACGTGGTATTTATATTTGAATCAATAGGGGGAGTCAGGGTATTCAATCGGATTGAACCCGTATAAAGAATATTTTTAAAAAAAAAATATACAGATTTTTTAACACTAGTTACATAAGCATTTTTTAAAATTGGAGTGGATCGGGACATGGGTTGGATCCCCTAGCTACGCCCCTATGAACCAATTGAAATGTTTATACTAATACTAATGATAAATTTTGAATGTATTCAATACACGTACACGTCTAAGCTAGGGGTTAGTTTGATAAGGGATGGGCAAATAGTTTGATTAGGGATGGGCAAATCGGTTAGGTTTGACCAAATTGAACTGTGCCAAATCAAATTAAATTAAATCAAAACTGAACAATATATATAATTGAGGTTAGTTTGATAGTATTTCTTTCGAACCGAAGTAGATCAAATTGAACTGAAATTGTGAAAGAAACGAAAAAAACTGAACATAACTAAATTACTCAGTAAATTCATAATTTTTTATATAAAAAAACAAACTTTTCCTAACCAAACAAACCTATACCAAACCAAACCAAAACATATTATGGGTTTTCGCGAGTAACCTCTCTTTCAATCTGTTCTAAAACAAACCGAACCAAAAACTGATAAAAATCAAATTGAACCCGATATATCCACCCTATAATTAATACTGAAAAAATGAAAATTCAAGTTTTGAAAACCCACAACTCTTGAAAGTGCAATGTACAAGTATCCATGATAGAGAATTGGAATTTCAACAATAATGCGCCATGACAAAATCATTCTACTTGTTAAAAGCTTTGAAGTTATGTCTTAGAAATAAACACATTAATATAACATTTAAATTTTCCTCATCAATAGAATATACAATGTCAAATAGTGATCCTAAAATGTACTACATCTGTCCCTGAATTTATATTATACTTTATTTTATATTGTTTGTTATACCACAAAATTTTATCAATTTTCCTGATTTAGCCGTCTAGCAAACTTTATCATTATTTACATCATTTACTTTATCACTCAAACTAATAAATACTCCTGTGATTGGAGTTATTTCTTGTGTATGAGGCCTGAGTTGACGCCTCTTACAGAATACAAAAATGTTTTGTGTACACACACCTTATACACACTTGTACACACTATAAAAGACTTTGTGTTTTACCTTCTTTCATTTTTTTGTGAAAAATTCTAAAGGTACACACTTTTTTGTGTACACACTTTTTACACATGTCTGTGTAAGATTTTTTTTATGTCTGTACAGACATAACGTATTTTTAAAATACGTTATGTCTGTACAGACATAAAAAAAATCTTACACAGACATGTGTAAAAAGTGTGTACACCAAAAGTGTGTACCCCAAGTCCAACTCTTTTTTTTGTACTCTTACTCTTTCCCAGTTCCCACCCCCTTCTCTCACATCCATTCTGGTACGACATCTCTACCCCTTCTTCTCAATTTCTTCTTTTTCAGTTTTTCTTTCTTTTGTTTCTTCTCCGTCACATTCATTCACTTACAGATGGAGGATAGTTGAATTACCCTTCCCGTTTCTTTTCTTTCCCCTCAGCCAATTTCGTATCCCTCCCCTCCAAGTATGTAGCTTCAACTCATCCTCTCTCCCTTAAGCTGATTCTCTCCTTTCTCTCTTCTTCGTTTGCAACTTATCTTTAAACCAGCTACTCAACTTCGAATTTCCTTTCAACTATAATGGAGATTTTTTTGTCTCAAACTTTGATTATTAGGTTAACAATCGACTCATTTCTTATGTTCATATAGGAATTTGTTTTTTTCAGATTTAAGTAACTTATATATGTTATGATGATGAATTCTTCACTATTTGTTCTTTTGATATAGGTTTGTGATGTGAATTATTGAAATCTTAGTTGAACTAGTTACTTTATATTTAAGCCCAGTACATGTTTGTTAGAATGACTCAACGATGTTTTCAATGTTTGTATATGTTCATAGGATCCAATGGGGGGTGCAGTAGTTTTTTTTTTTTTTGATAAAAACAAAATAGGTAATTCCTTGTCAAAATAATGTTGTATTTGCTCATTTCTATTTACAATTCTTTTTAGCTAATTTGTAATTACATATCATACTTTAATTTGCAAGCCTTCGATGTGTTTGTTAAAATGTCGATGAAACTCTTTTATAATTCTGAATTTTTATATGGTAAAAGTAGATTTTATCTAAATTATTTTATGTGTATTCATTTATTTTGTCTATACATAGTCGAAACATTTTCTATGTCTTCGTTTATATTGTTTGTGTGTTCGTTTATTTTGTTTGTACGCGGACAAACATGCATATTATTTTCTTTGTGTTCATTTATTAATAGAATGTTCAGTTGCATTAGTTCACCACACAGATTATTAACAGGTTTTGAATTTCAATTGTGACCAAAAAAACCAATAAAGGGACAAAGAAAGGTTGCTGCTTGCTAGTGGACGAGATTGAGCATTTTATGGCATTGCTTATGGAGTTATGGATTGATGTGCTCTAATACAAGAATGAGAGGGTCCGAGCACATGATAACTAAATACTTAATTCTTGTAATTAATTACTACGTAGTTTATAAAGTTATTGTTCCTGTATTTAGAATGTAAGTGTATTTAGATTTGCTTTTATTTTTAAAGATGTATTTTATAGGTTATGAAAACTGATTCTGACTTTTGGTGTTATGAAATTTGAAACATAAGTGTAATTGGATTTGTTATGGAATATAATAGTCGTGTGTCAAAAAGAATCGTTTGTTTTGTTTGTGCGTAGTCGAAACATCGTCTATATCTAGAAAATAATTATCTGTTTATACATTTATATTGTTTATGTGTAGTAAAAACATGGTTTGTGTGTTTGTTTGTAAAAATGATTCCACCATGCACAGGCAATAAAAATTGGGACATAGACAATTCATAACCACACCCAAGTGATTCGTATGAATATTTCAGATAATATTACCAAATACATATTCACTAGACGAAGTACCCGTGCGATGCACGGGGTATATCTAGATTAGAATAACTAACATCTTATTTAAAATGTGTTTTATTACAAAGGTACATAATTGTATTTTTGTCAGATAAAAAAAGAATATAGAGTTTATATGTTGTAGCTTTGATTATATATATTATATTATAGCAGCCGTGAGAAAATAATATTTTGGACCAAATTGAAGAATTGTAAGTAAAATTAATATAAATGATAAAGTGTAACTTTGTCTTTGTTCTATGAAATATCAATAGTCAAATATTTGACACTACAATGATAAGAGTGTATACATATAATTTTAGACTTCATAAAGACAATATCGTTACCCACGCTTACCCACACGGGATTCCAGGCAGCAATTCTGTTAGGAGCAAACTCCAATCAGCCAGCTAGGGATGGACTAAATCGGGCCGGCCCGACCCGGAACCGGCCCGGCCCGTTACTGTTTGGGCCCGGACCGGACCGGGACCAGTTGGCCGGTTCTGGGCTTTTAGCCCGTTTGGGCGGGTCGGACGGGTCGGGCTCGGGCCCAACTTTTAGTGAACCGGCCCGGGCGGTTCGGGCCGGGCCCGGTTCATTTTTTTTGTTTTTTCAATTTTTTTGCTTTTCTAGGTTAGGGTTGGGTATTTTTTTTTGGGGGGGGGGGGGGGGTTGGGGGTGGGGTGAAGGGGGGGGGGGGTCGGGTGTTGATTAGAAACCAAAAAAAAATTGAACTTGACCCGGGCTCGGTTAGGCCCGGACCTGGTATCAACCCGGGCCGGTTTCGGGCCCAACATTTTGCAAAAAAAGCCCGCCCCGGGCCCGGACCAGAACCGGACCGGCCCGGGTCCATCCCTACAGCCAGCTATTAAAAACTCTCTCTCCAATCAGCTTTACACGTGGCTGCTCCCCATCGAATTAGGCTGTTAGCTTGTTAGAGTAGCTTTACACGTGTCCCCCTCCTATTAGACTAACATCTTTTTACTTGGACACCAAGTATTACCTTTTACCTCTTAGTATAAATATCACATTCCAACTTGTGGAAAGGGATGCTTAATTGATCGCACTCTGAATTTTATACTGTAAGACTTGCAAACCAGTTCACTCTCTCCCTTTCTTCTCTTATTCTCGGCGGATTCCGGCCACCCCTGGTCCGACGATCCATCACAACCCTTCATCAATTTTAGTAGCTTTAGTCGATTTAGCCGTTTTCAGTGTTACCAAACGAACTCATAGGTTGTTTGTTTAAGTCGGGATTGATTTGATCTGAATTGGTTTGATAAAAGTCTATTTTATGTGTAGTATACTATTGATTAAGTCTTATCTGTTCTAATATGATATGGTACTGTCAAACAGGAGTTTGTCTACTTAAGAACATCCTAAATTCAGTATTAATCAGAGAAAGTAGTAATTAGCAAATCAGGTATTTTAAGAGTTTATAATTCATAAATACATGAAAAATCTAGCCGCTGAGAGAGGAGCGGTGTTCCAGAAACCATAGCAGTTGTCTCCTCCTTTTCTCTTCTTTCCTTCTCTTGTTTCAATCTTCTTTGATTCAATAATGGAAAAATGTCTTTATCATGTGTGTTTTCAATTTTATCTATATGTTTGTTTCCTAGCGTTATCTAGAGATACTATTTTCAGTGGCGAAGTATCGTCTGTCAGATGATACTTCCCCGTCATATTTAATCAGCAGGTAGAGTCTACTTCTTTGTGGGGTTAGAAATTTGGCGTTTTCGATTTGAATTACAGATGGACTGGGACGGGTCAGGTCGACCCAGGACCTAGTTGAGCCTGCCACCGTGCAGGCCAAATCCGGCCTGGCGGGCGGTACAGGGATTTGTACTGGGAGGCCCGAACCAAGGATAGGGGGATGGGACAGGGAAAATGC